AAGCCCCAGGACGGTCTGGATCTACCATCCATGCTCTTACAGCTTCTCCGTGTTGTGTGCCAACCCTTTTATTTGTCTGTGTCCCAACAACACAAGTGCCATTCCTACGTGACTTGTGCGTCCCACAGCACTTCAAAGCCCTTTGCGTGAATGAAGCCATCACAGCCTTCCAATGGTCCCGTGACAAGGTAATCCTCACCGCACAGATGACAAAGCTAACACACAGCAGTAAGTCACGTCTCCAAGGTTACACAACATGTGCTGGTGGTGCCATGCACTTGAACCCGGGCGGCGAGCTCTTAGCAACCACAGGAAGTGAAATGCCTGGGAACAGAGCAGCTGATGTTGCAACCGTCAGGTGGTGGGATTAGCTCCAAACAGGAGCAAAGAGGCCTCCTCCATTGTCCCAGGAAGGAAGGAGGAAAGGGTGGGGGAGGTTTCAGGTGGGGTGTGGATTGGGTGGCAGGAAGCTTTGGGAGGGCCTGCCGGATGCCTCCATTTTCCTCAGGGGAGATGGAGGCCAGCTCGTGTCAAGGGGCATCTGGGCAGGTGGGGTTGGGAGGCTGAGGGTGGAGAAGGCGCTCAGGTGAAGTTAAAACAAAAAAAAACAAACTCACTGCCATGGAGTCAATTCTGACTCAGAGCAACCCTAGTGGGTTTTGAGGCTGTAAATCTTTATAGAAGTAGATCATCCCATCTTCCTTCCACAGAGGACCTGGTGGATTTGAACCACTCACCCTTTGGTTAGTGACATATGCCTTATCCACTATGCCACCAGAGCTCCTTCAGGTAAAGTTGGTGACCATGAATTTAAAGAGACATCATCTCTGCAGTTGGATTACACACACAGAGACACACAAACTACTGCTGTAAGGAGCTCTGGTGGTGCAGAAGTTAAAGCACTTGGCTTCTAACCCCAAAGTTCAGCAGGTCTAACCTACCAGCTGCTCCGTGGGAGAAAGATGAGGCAGTCCACCTCTGTAAAGACTGACAGCCTTGGAGACCCTGTGGGGCAGTTCCACTCTGTCCTCTAGGGGCGCTGTGGGTCAGAATGGACTCCACGGCAGTGGGTGTGGTTTGGGCTTTG